CTCACTTTCCAAAAGCAACCTGTGCGAAGCAAAAACAATTTGAGTACAAGTATAGGGTTTAAGGCTGCGTCCTCCCCCCAGACTTCTTTGGATTTTTTTCATGGAATCTTTCTATAAGGCAATCAGCCTGGATATTTCTACTCTTTACCCAAGATCCCTCTGACAAGGGGCAACCCTTCCACTAGATTAAGTACTGGAGTTGTCTCCTGTGCCACGTTGAATCATGGATTTGTTGCAAGTCATAATGGGTTTGGCCCCCTATGACCACCGGGCCTGGGGGCTCCCAGGGCAGTGGTCTCAGAGTGGATCCGATGACAGGTTTTAAGAGGCTACTATGGAATACCTGGTGTATCTTCCCTAGCAGTTGGGGCAGTTTCAATTGCACAGTGACTGGGTTGATGATCTTTACTATGGGGAATGGTCCCACAAACTTTGGTCCCAGTTTCTTGCTAGGGAGTCTTAGCCACAAATATTTTGTGGCAAGGTAAACCTTCTCTCCCACCAAGAATGGTCGTTGCGGAGCTTGGTGTTTATCTTCCTGTTTCTTATAGGTTTGTGTGGTGCTTTAGCCAGTGCTATTTTGACATTCTCCCACGTTGCTTTTAGCATTGATATCCAATCAGTCAAGCTGACTGAGGAGGGGGGATCCCTTGGGTACTCAGGCATCAGTGACATGCAGCCGCTGCTTCTCCAGGCTCCGCCACTGGAAGTCCTGGATTGCCTCTGGGGGAAGGCTGAGCGAGAAGCAGAGCGAAGCTTCTCCGCGGCCTCCCGGTGCCGCGCAGAGGCTCTCGCATGAGCGCGTGCCAGCGGCCGGTGGCCTGGAGCAGCCCCGGCTGTGAGACAAGGCAGCGCTTAAAGCAGCCGCTGTCACCGCCACCGCCCCTCCTTCGCCCGGCGGGGCGTTCCTGCCGCCTTGGGCCACTTTGCCGCGTGGCAGCTGCTTCTGCAAGGAGGCGCTGGGCCAGGAACTGGAGAAGCCGGCGGATCGCTTGGACTGGAGCCTCCATGGAAAGGGCGCGGCGTGGCTTCCGAGCGATCCGCCGGCTTCTCCAGTTCCTGGCCCAGCGCCTCCTTGCAGAAGCAGCTGCCACGCGGCAAAGCAGCCCAAGGCGGCAGGAACGCCCCGCCGGGCGAAGGAGGGGTGGTGGCGGTGGCAGCGGCTGCTTTAAGCGCTGCCTTGTCTCACAGCCGGGGTTGCTCTGGGCTGCCAGCGGCTGGCAC